ATAACATGGCCCCATGTCATGTACAGCTTTAAAGGTCAACCCCCAACACTTAAATTGCACATTGCAAATAGCAGCTCATCAGCAGATGTGCAATGTGTGTCCTCCTAAGAATACCCATTACTGTCTCATCTGCTGTATTTTGCACCAGCTGAAGCTTCTGGATACTCTTCAAGGGCAGTCCCATATGCAGCATGTTACCTTAATACATTCAGGAGTGGAACAAGGCATGAATAACTCTGAGCAGAATTAAAATGTTCCATGGTAGTTTCAATATGTATTGATAGCTCAGATTTTTTTTGGTGTGTTTTTGAATCAGTGTTAGTTTCCTGTGACTTCCAAGATTTTATTGCCAAGGTTTTTTCAGAAGTGACACAGCTGGCTTTGTGCCAAGGTAGAATTAGAACTCATAGCCTCCCTATTTCTAGCCTGGTGACTTCATCACTATACCAAACTGCCTCTTTATACAGAATGTCATCACATGTAGATGATACATAATCCATAAATGCCTGGCTAACTCATGAAGCATGAGCTCCAATGTAAATGCTATACTTTAACATACATATTATTCTAAAGAAAATTATAACTAACAAGCAGCCATATAGCACAATGCATAACAATATTTTAAAACAGTATGGTGCAGGGAGACCAGCCTCTTGGCTAGTTTAATAATAGAATTCATTTCTGAAGTTTGGTCAATGTGACATGAATCTCTTGAAGACCTACTTCCAAGACATACATTACAAACAAGCTCCTTTCTCATGTTGAACATTAAACACATCTTGCCAAGGGCATATAAAACTTTAGGCCTCATTGGTACCTTACCCCTTAATTGTAGAGTCTATCATTAAAAACACCTTACTGTTTTGTCTAAAGATGTTATGTTCCACATAATAGTATTGTTCAAAACAATATATACCAGAGGGGTTTTCTTAGAATAGGTGTTGGCTTCCCTTAACGCAGTTTCTCAGCATGCCTTGGGATAGTCCACACATATTGGTTGAATCTGCCTTTCTGCCCAGGGACTAAGTCAACAATCTTTGCCACACCTCTTCCTGTCGGGGCAGGAAGCCCCCTAGCCCCAGTCATGATGAAGGTGCAGCCATTTGATGATCTTCCTGTCACGTTGGCTCTGCCTCCCACCTGGACACTGGACCAGACGGTTGCCAGAGTGGGAGTGGATTATCCCAAGGCATGCTGAGAAACTGCGTTCAGGTAAGCCAACGCCTATTCTCCAGCATGCCTTTGGTATAATCCACACATATGGGACATACCAAAGCTGGCAGTCCTTATGGGTAGGAAGAAGTCTGGTCCTGTGCACTCCCGTCTGTATGCACTCATTATAGCACTCTTCTTCTGAAGGCCGCCTTAGCTGAGGCGTGTATGTCCAGTCTGTAGTGCTTTACAAATGGAGACAGGGAAGACCATGTAGCCACCCTGCAGATGTCTTCAAGTGAGGCCTGTGTCGGCCAGGCAGCTGTAGTAGCTGCGCTTCTGGTTGAGTGAGCTGTTACCCATCTGGATGTTGGAAGAGCCTGGGTCTCGGAGGCCTTGGCTATACAAACCCTGATCCAGCGGCCTATAGCTGAAGAGGAGACTTTAGTGCCCATTGAAGATGGCTGAAATGAGACAAACAGGGCCTCGATTTTATGATACATTGATGTACGTTTGATGTACCTGTGAAGAACTCTCTGAACATCCAATTTGTGCTATCTGTGCTCTCTGTCGTGTGAAGGAGCAGGGCAAAACTTGGGAAGAACGATTTCCTGAGCCCTGTGGAAACTAGAGTTTACCTTTGGGATGAAAGAGGGGTCGAGGTGCAGGACAACCCTGTTGTCATGGAATGTACAGAGGTCTTCCCTGATGGAAAGAGGTGCCAATTCTGATATGCGCCGGGCCAATGTGATGGCCACTAAGGCGGCGACTTTGAGTGTTAAGAACTGCAGGCTTACAGATTGAAGACGTTCAAACGGATCCTGAGTAAAGGCTTGTAATACTGTTGACAGGTTCCAAGAAGGATAGTTGTGAACTGTTGGAAGTTTAAGATTGATAGCTCCTTTGAGGAAGGAGCAGATGATCGGATGATGACCTAAGGAATTCCTCTTCCCGTAGTGCAACACGGTGGATAGGGCTGCTACCTGCATGCATAGCATACTAGTAGACAACCCTTTGTCAAGTCCTGTTTGTAGAAAGTCCAGGATCTGTGGCACTGAGGCCAGTCAGATCTGTGCTCTTCTTGGTGCACCATTGATGGGACGCTTTCCAGGTAGCGTTGCATATTCTGTTTGTAGAAGGCCTCCTGGAGGCTTGTACTGTTTTGATGACATTTCTGGAAAAGTTACCCCTCCTCACGATCCTCCTCTCAAGTGACAGGTGGTCAATTGGAGCCACTGAGGCTCCAGGTGTTCCAAGCCCCCCAGCTGAGATATATCCTGCCCTGAGGGATCTTCCAAGGGTGGGACACTGACAGATTCACTAGATCCGCATACCATGACCATCTGGGCCAGTGGGGAGTGAGGAGGATGATTTCTGCCTGTTCTATAAGTACTTTCCTTTTCACCCCCGGTATGAGGGGAAGAGGAGGGAAGATGTAAAGGAGACCCTTCAGCCAGCAGCTGTGAAGGGCTTTAACCCCTTCTGAGCCCAGCAACAGGAATCTGGAGTAGAACCAGGGAAGTTGGGTGTTCGTTGAGAGTGGCAAAGAGGTCAAGTACTGGCCTCCCAAATCTCTGAGCTATGTCCTGGAACAGATCTGGATGGAAACGCCACTCGGAGTTGTCCACCCTGGTCCTGCTTAGGTAATCTGCCTGGACATTTGCTATCCCTGATATGTGCTCTACCTTGATCGATAATAGGTGAGCCTCCGCCCAGGTTCCCAGTTGCTGCATTTCAGACATGAGGGATCTGGAGTGGATCCCTCCCTGGCGATTGATGTGTGCTTTGGCCACCATGTTGTCCGTTAGGATCTGTACGTGTTGGCTGGTCACTGTGCTTCGTAAGTGTCTGAGAGCTAAGTGAATGGCTCTCAGTTCTAACCAGTTTATGTTGTGTTGAAGGTCCACTGTGGACCATTGATCCTGGGCAAGCTGGGACTGTAGATGCCCCCCACTTCCCAACAGACTCACATCTGAAGTAACTGTGATGAGACTGGGTTCTTTGAATAGGGACCTCTTGGTGATTGCTGGGGAAACCCACCACCTGAGGGATCTGAGGACATCTGAGTGGAGTCAGACCCTGACGTTGGAGGTGCTGGTGCTTACCCTCTGAAACAGTAGGAGGAACCATTGGCGAGGCCTGGCATGCAATCGGGCCCATGGTACTATGGCTATGCACAAGATTAATTTTCCCAGAAGCTGGGAAAGCACCTCCAAGGGAGCCGCTTGCTCCGCTGTGACCTGTGCTATCAACGACAATGCTGTCCTGATGCTCCTGGGAAAAATATACTTTGCACAGATTTGTGTCTATCACCGCGCCCAGATGAAGGAGACGGGTGGAAGGTATTAGCTGGCTTTTCTGGAAATTGATTGAAAATC